CCTAGACAGTGGACAAGGCGCACTATGACCAAGAACCGGTCATGTGTTTAGTTAATCATCACAAAGCTGTCTTAGATTTTTTTTTTGCTGTCTGTCTGTTATTTGCCGGAATTTAGCAATCTGTTTTCAGAGCAGTGATTGTGTAAAAGGGAACGCCCATGTACCAAACCCATTACAAGCAGGGAAGGAGCGCCAGAACTTCCACTTTGCAGTATCTGTGTTTTTTAAAGTATAGCTAAAGGCAACATTTGTTTTGGATTTGAATAGAGTAGGGAAGGGTTAGCCCTGTCAGGTTCTTATTACTGTCTATGACCCCCTTGGGAGATTTACTTTCAGACTGTCCTGATCACCAATGTCACCAGGAATGATAGTTGAGGGTAAATTCCCACCAGAACAGGAATAGAGGAGAAATCTTCCAATGGAGACGCTTGTTCTGGTGACAACTGTCTAAGGGGATCTCCCACTAATTTGGAAATCCTGTATATCATCTTACTGAGTCCACAGGACAGAAAGAAAAGGGAAATATCCGTAATATAACACAGACGGAAAAAAATGCACAGTAATGTTAACCCTCCTACTCCAGGGCTTGACAAATTTGCTCTGAATCTCAGAGCCAGCTAAAAAAGTTAGCCAATAATTATTTTTTTTTTTTTTTTCAGAGTAGCGTGGGTTGTTAGCTCCTGGGGCAAGGCAACCTTTGGGCGACAAGCTTCACACAATGCAATTTGCTGCGCAACAATCACAACAAAACCGGCCCACGTTTTAGGTGCCATTGGAAATAATGGGAGACGTTCTGGCATTGAGGCCGGCGGGAGGCGTTCTGGCATTGAGGCCGGCGGGAGGCGTTCTGGCATTGAGGCCGGCGGGAGGCGTTCTGGCATTGAGGCCGGCGGGAGGCGTTCTGGCATTGAGGCCGGCGGGAGGCGTTCTGGCATTGAGGCCGGCGGGAGGCGTTCTGGCATTGAGGCCGGCGGGAGGCGTTCTGGCATTGAGGCCGGCGGGAGGCGTTCTGGCATTGAGGCCGGCGGGAGGCGTTCTGGCATTGAGGCCGGCGGGAGGCGTTCTGGCATTGAGGCCGGCGGGAGGCGTTCTGGCATTGAGGCCGGCGGGAGGCGTTCTGGCATTGAGGGCGGCGGGAGGCGTTCTGGCATTGAGGGGGCGGCGGGAGGCGTTCTCTCATTGAGGCCGGCGGGAGGCGTTCTCTCATTGAGGCCGGCGGGAGGCGTTCTGGCAGTGAGGCCGGCGGGAGGCGTTCTGGCATTGAGGCCGGCGGGAGGCGTTCTGGCATTGAGGCCGGCGGGAGGCGTTCTGGCATTGAGGCCGGCGGGAGGCGTTCTATCATTGAGGCCGGCGGGAGGCGTTCTATCATTGAGGCCGGCGGGAGGCGTTCTATCATTGAGGCCGGCGGGAGGCGTTCTATCATTGAGGCCGGCGGGAGGCGTTCTCTCATTGAGGCCGGCGGGAGGCGTTCTCTCATTGAGGCCGGCGGGAGGCGTTCTCTCATTGAGGCCGGCGGGAGGCGTTCTCTCATTGAGGCCGGCGGGAGGCGTTCTCTCATTGAGGCCGGCGGGAGGCGTTCTCTCATTGAGGCCGGCGGGAGGCGTTCTCTCATTGAGGCCGGCGGGAGGCGTTCTCTCATTGAGGCCGGCGGGAGGCGTTCTCTCATTGAGGCCGGCGGGAGGCGTTCTCTCATTGAGGCCGGCGGGAGGCGTTCTCTCATTGAGGCCGGCGGGAGGCGTTCTCTCATTGAGGCCGGCGGGAGGCGTTCTCTCATTGAGGCCGGCGGGAGGCGTTCTCTCATTGAGGCCGGCGGGGAGGCGTTCTCTCATTGAGGCCGGCGGGAGGCGTTCTCTCATTGAGGCCGGCGGGAGGCGTTCTCTCATTGAGGCCGGCGGGAGGCGTTCTCTCATTGAGGCCGGCGGGAGGCGTTCTCTCATTGAGGCCGGCGGGAGGCGTTCTCTCATTGAGGCCGGCGGGAGGCGTTCTCTCATTGAGGCCGGCGGGAGGCGTTCTCTCATTGAGGCCGGCGGGAGGCGTTCTCTCATTGAGGCCGGCGGGAGGCGTTCTCTCATTGAGGCCGGCGGGAGGCGTTCTCTCATTGAGGCCGGCGGGAGGCGTTCTCTCATTGAGGCCGGCGGGAGGCGTTCTCTCATTGAGGCCGGCGGGAGGCGTTCTCTCATTGAGGCCGGCGGGAGGCGTTCTCTCATTGAGGCCGGCGGGAGGCGTTCTCTCATTGAGGCCGGCGGGAGGCGTTCTCTCATTGAGGCCGGCGGGAGGCGTTCTCGCATTGAGGCCGGCGGGAGGCGTTCTCGCATTGAGGCCGGCGGGAGGCGTTCTCGCATTGAGGCCGGCGGGAGGCGTTCTCGCATTGAGGCCGGCGGGAGGCGTTCTCGCATTGAGGCCGGCGGGAGGCGTTCTCGCATTGAGGCCGGCGGGAGGCGTTCTCGCATTGAGGCCGGCGGGAGGCGTTCTCGCATTGAGGCCGGCGGGAGGCGTTCTCGCATTGAGGCCGGCGGGAGGCGTTCTCGCATTGAGGCCGGCGGGAGGCGTTCTGGCATTGAGGCCGGCGGGAGGCGTTCTCGCATTGAGGCCGGCGGGAGGCGTTCTCTCATTGAGGTCTGTGGGAGGCGTTCTCGCATTGAGGTCTGTGGGAGGCGTTCTGGCATTGAGGCCGGCGGGAGGCGTTCTGGCATTGAGGCCGGCGGGAGGCGTTCTGGCATTGAGGCCGGCGGGAGGCGTTCTCGCATTGAGGCCGGCGGGAGGCGTTCTCGCATTGAGGCCGGCGGGAGGCGTTCTCTCATTGAGGTCTGTGGAGGCGTTCTCGCATTGAGGTCTGTGGGAGGCGTTCTGGCATTGAGGCCGGCGGGAGGCGTTCTGGCATTGAGGCCGGCGGGAGGCGTTCTCTCATTGAGGCCGGCGGGAGGCTTTTTTTTTTTTTTTTGCGTTGAAGTCAATGGGATGCAGTATGTGGCGCAAGGACGCAACTTCTAGTCACCATAACGACCTGGCGAATGGGATTTTTTTTTCTATTGGATGAACTAGATGGTGTTGTGTCTTTTCAACTTGACTATGTAATGTTTTGTGGATCATTTTTATGATTTTTGTTCACTTTTGCGCATTTGTTTTTTTTTTCCGTATGAGGTTTGAAGACGAGAAGTAAGTTTTGCATGTAAGTCACATGTAGAATGTACCCTGCATGTGACGTGTTTAACTTGCTGTACCTTGTTCCTGTATTCAAGCAGTAAAACTGAAAACGCCGCAAGTCACATAAAAAACAGACCCGCTGGAAAAACTGAAACTGAAAATGGGAACTTTAAGTGATACTAAATACACGGTTTAGAGTGATTGTAAAGGCTGAAGGTTTTTTTTTTTCTTATCTTCATGTATTCTATGTATGAAAGTAAAAAAAACCTTTTGTGTGCAGCAGCTCCCCCCCCTAATACTCACCTAAGCCCCCTCTCCATCCAGGAATGTACACTGGAGTCTCAGCCATCCTGGGACTCCCTCTCCTCATTGGCTGAGACATTGGCTCCAGTTGTGGCAATCACAGCCAGTGAGCCAATGAGAAGAGAGAGGGGGTGGGGCCAAGCCCACGGCTTTGTGTGTGAATGGGCAGCGGGTACCCCCATAGCAAGCTGCTTGCTGTGGGGGCACCCGACAGGAGGGAGGGCCAGGAGAGCCTGCGGGGGACCAGAGAAGAGGAGGATCGGGACTGCTCTGTGCAAAACCACCACACACAGCATGTAAGTATAGACATCTTTGTTATTTTTAGAAAAGAAATAAAAAAGTTACTCCTTTAGTTTCCGTGTTGTTTTCTTTTTTTTTTATGTTTGTTTTTTGTTTTTCTATCTACTCAGCACAAACCCATCCTTATAATTTACCAATAAATTGGGTGTAAAATTGTGATTGTTTGCACTAAAATTCTCTTTAGTGTATTTTCCTGAAAAATATGCACTTCAGAAATAACTGCAAATATTGTGCAACATAAAAAACTACAACTACCACCATTTTATTTATCCGCTCTCCCCGGACCCCGCATTCCCTATATCCGCTCTCCCCGGACCCCGCATTCACTATATCCGGTCTCTCCGGACCCCGCATTCACTATATATCCGCTCTCCCCGGACCCCGCATTCACTATATCCGGTCTCTCCGGACCCTGCATTTACTATATCCGCTCTCCCCGGACCCCGCATTCACTATATCCGCTCTCCCCGGACCCCGCATTCACTATATCCTCTCTCCCCGGACCCTGCATTCACTATATCCGCTCTCCCCGGACCCCGCATTCACTATATCCGCTCTCCCCGGACCCCGCATTCACTATATCCGCTCTCCCCGGACCCCGCATTCACTATATCCGCTCTCCCCGGACCCCGCATTCACTGTATCCGCTCTCCCCGGACCCCGCATTCACTATATCCGCTCTCCCCGGACCCCGCATTCACTGTATCCGCTCTCCCCGGACCCCGCATTCACTGTATCCGATCTCCCCGGACCCCGCCTTCACTGTAGCCGCTCTCCCCGGAGCCCGCCTTCACTGTAGCCGCTCTCCCCGGAGCCCGCCTTCACTGTAGCCGCTCTCCCCGGAGCCCGCCTTCACTGTAGCCGCTCTCCCCGGAGCCCGCCTTCACTGTAGCCGCTCTCCCCGGAGCCCGCCTTCACTGTAGCCGCTCTCCCTGGACCCCGCATTCACTATATCCGTTCTCCCCGGACCCCGCCTTCACTGTAGCCGCTCTCCCCGGAGCCCGCCTTCACTGTAGCCGCTCTCCCCGGAGCCCGCCTTCACTATATCCGCTCTCCCCGGACCTTACTGTTGTTGGTTTAGTAACACTTTAAGCCCTGAGAAAGGGGGTGGGGGCCTTCGGTGCCCCTGAAATGTGTTGGCTGTATGTTTTTCCTTTCCGTGGTCATTTCCTGAACCAATAAATCGTTGTTGGATCATTTGTGTGACGCTCTTCCTGATGTGATTTAACATTTCATCTCTGATGTATTTCCAGGCTGACGTGTGCCACGCCTATCAGATCGTCAAGAGGAACGGCATCCCCGATGAGCAGATCGTGGTGATGATGTATGACGATATCGCCGACAACGAGCAGTAAGTGTTCTGAGCCGTCTGACTTTGTTCTGCGTCTGGAGTTCCACTTTAACCGCTTAAGGACCGCCCCATAGCAGATACACTGTATATATACGTGATTTCGCATTTCCAGGTAAAGGGTGCACACGCCACCATTCGTGGTCGCAGATGTCAATCATCGGGTCCCGGCTAGTAATTACCCGCTGGCGCCTGGTGATTACCAACAATCACCGACGGGGAGGAGGACTGTTTTGCTTACTAACAGTCGTCCTCCCTGTCACCTCGGGCACACTGCACAGCACAGCCATCCACAGCAGTGTGATTACAGTGAAGCGCACAGCCCCCCACCCTTAGTAAAACACACCCAGCACACAGTTAACCCTTTGATCGCCCAACATTAACCCCTTCCTGCACAATGCCATTAGTACAGTGTCATGGCTTTTTTTTTTTTTTTTTTTAGCACTGATCACTGTATTGGTGTCACTGGGGATGTCAGTGACAGCAAGTCAGTTCCCCCCCCCCCCCCCCCCCAGTGTCAGAATGCCCGCCACAGTCCCACTATAAGTCACTGATTGCCGCCGTTACTAGTAGAAAAAAAAAATCCCATTATCTATACCGCCATTTGTAAACGCTATAACTTTCACGTAAACCAATTCATTTACATGTATTGGGATTTTTTTTTTAGCAAAGACACATTTTGGCCGAAATTTAATTTTTTTTTTTATTTTTTACTGGACATGTTTAATAGCAAAAAGTCCAAAATATTGTTTTTTGTTCTCAAAATGGTCGCTCTTTTTTTGGTTATAGCGCAAAAAAATAAAAAACTGCACAGGCGATCGAATACCACCGAAAGAAAGCTCAATTCGTGGGGAAAAAATTTGGGTGCAGCGTTGCATGATCGTGCAATTGTCAGTTAAAGTAACACAGCGCCGTAACGCAAAAAATGGCCTGGTCAGGAAGGGGGGGGGGATCCTCTGGAGGGGGAGGGGTTAATAAGCCCAGAGAAGTGAATGTTGGTTCTCAGTATTGGGATGGGGGGGGGGATGGGGGTAACCCAATCCAGAATATATCTGAAGCTGCGAGTGCGTGCTCCTCGTATTACCGCCGTGATGCAGCCAGTGACACCTGAGACTGATTGTGTTACATTGTGTCATTATATAGAGCGGACGTTCGCTTTGCTGCCAAGTAGGAAATCGATCCTCTCTAGATACCGCGAGCAGGAGGGGCGGGGGTGCTGAGTGCGAGAATTTCATCAAAGCCAATCATATTTAAAGTATTTCATTAGAAGCTGCAGCCATTCAGATAGAGCTCCGCCTCATTTCTTGGCTGGAGGACGTCCAGCGTCATCTAGCTCTTTCCTGCCCAGCCTGACTGTCCCTGGCCTCGCTGCTTTCAGTCATTGGTTTTCAGTTCTTTCCATTGTGGAGGCTCAGCATCACGTGTGATGGCCTGTATGCACATATATCTTTCCCTGGAACGCACCCTCTTCCAGACTGAGGAGGCATTTTGATAATTGCATAACTCCTAAAAGCCAGCACCAGGGCTGGTGCCTCTTGAGGGGAGTACTGAGACAGGGTGCTGTGACTCTGCTGGCCCTCCCACTATCCAAGTTCTGCTTGCATTGCATAAAAAAGCACAGAATCCCAGTGATGGAATCTGTGACGATCGCACGTCAGACTCCTGACCTTCTCATCAAACTCGTGACCGAAGACCTAGCCAATCTGAAACTGCGATGTCATGTGCATAACCATGCCACGCCCCACTGCACCCTTCACAGCGATTTTCCAGCTAATTGGACCACAATCGATGTACCTGCAGCCTGGGAGCGTTTGTTACTGGGTCAGGTTAATTATGCAATTAACCCTTCACACTGCCACCACCTCCTTTTTGTACAGAGAAAGGGGAAACTCCAGCAATACACTAGGATGATTGGTTAATCGTCGGTATACCACTATCTCTACAGACCGGTTATACAGAGGGTTAAACACTCATAGTAGTGCTCTCCAGTGGCAGGGATTCGTAAATCACATTAAAGAGCTAAAGAAACAGTTCAACACTTTTTCAGAAAGTAAGATTTATTACTAAAAGATCATAAGGGTGCAGTAGAAATATTTACAGAAAAAAGCTGTAATATATATATATATATATATATATATATATATATATATAATTATACAGAGCACAACAGCACAGCAAACAGATATCAGAAAGAAGTTTAGGTAAATAAGTACTTGCCGAAAGATGCCTTGGGGTTAAGCAGTTTCAAGTCTGATGAGCTAGAAAAGGAATTTCTGGTCTCGCACTCAGTTTCGTTGTTACAGCGAGGTTCTCCTTTGCTCTCGGTCTGCGAGATGTTAAAACGCAGGAGATCCTCACTTCTCTCTCTACGCACAAAACATAACAGCCTCTTTTCTACCCAAAATCAACTGGTGTCTTCTTACAACAGCAAGCCAATTGCCTTATTTGGGAAAAGGATTGCATAGACAGCCCCTTAGCAATGTACACTGAACGCATTCCTGAGGGAGGGGGGAAATCGGAGGAGGGAGACTGATTTGTTTTGGGGAGAGATACCAAAATGCAGAGGTTTGGAGCAGAATGGCTGACCGCGCCCATCACTGTGTGCATGATTGCTACAGCATCTTCCTGACTGATTCCACCCAAACAAGCCAGGGTACACAAGTTTCTGAATAACTCTGGTGCTGAATTTTTATGCGTTGAGGGTTTTTTTTTTTTTTGTTCTTACATAGAAAACTCCACAATCACTCCGTTGGGGTCCGCTCACACGGGCGTTCCATTTTTTTTTTTCTTCAGTTCAGTCACATTTATTCAAAGAAAAAACAGATGAGTTTACATCCATTTTTTTCATCCGTTTTAGATCCATTTGTTCATCCATTTAGATCTGTTTTTCATCCATTTAGATCTGTTTTTTCATCCATTTAGATCTGTTTACATCCATTTTTCATTCATTTAGATCCATGTACATCCATTTTTCATCCATATAGATCCATTTACATCCGTTTTGGAAAATTTTTTAATCTGGTCGAAAATGAATTTAAAAAATCGATCCAAAATTAAAACGAAAACCATCTTCTTTTTTTTTTTTTTTTTTTCATTCTGCACGTCTAGTTAGGAGGTTAGTTTGAGAAGGGGTTCTAGTTGAAGGGTGAAGGTTGGGTGTAGGTCATCCTGCACAAGGAGAGAGAGAGAGAGAGAGAGCTCTGGGAGGGGCCCATCAGGCTCCACCCACTACAGAAACCTACAGGAGTGGGTGGAGACAAGACCAGTCACCCTGCACAAGGAAAAAAGAGCAGCAGTGAGCGGTCTTTAACACAGGAAGTCTCACACTGGATTACTGCCCAGATCTGGAAGATCATCAAGATTCACATTCCCGTCAGTCCCTAACCCTCAAGGGGCGTACAATCGAAGGTCCCTAACCCTCAAGGGGTGTACAATCGAAGGTCCCTAACTCACATTCTTACATACACATACTGAGGCCAATGTAGACAGGAGCCAATTATCCTCCAAGCATGTCTTTGGAGTGTGTGAGGAAACTGGAGTTCACAGAGAAAACCCGCGCAGGCGCAGGGAGAACATGCAAACTTCAAGTAGGTGGTGCCGTGGTTGGGATTCAAACCGATGGCTCTAGCACTGCCAGGCGGAAGTGCTAACCATTTAGCCACTGGGATGCCCCATTTTGATTTTTTTTTTTTTTTTTTTTTTTTGATTTTTACAGATTTCACAGAATTTCACCGTATTTAAAATGTATCCAAACCTGAGAATAAAATGTATCTTTTACAACCTACCTATTCTTTCATTGTGGTGGCTGCATTATTATTTTTTTTTCCTTTTTTTTTTTTTTTCTTTTTTCTGGGTTCTTTTTGTTCTGGGGGGTTCTTTCTGTCTTTTTTTTTTTTTCCCTGATTTTCTTTTTTTCTGTTTTTTTTTTTTTTCCTTTAGTTTTTACCTGGTGATCCTGCCAGTAATTTCCTGCCTTAGGGTGACAACACTCTCACTGTACTCTATAGAGGAGCAGTGTTGTCACCCTAGGTTAGGACCACAACTCCTCCTCTCAAATAAATTTGAACGAAATTAGAATGTATACTTTTCTTTTTAATGTTCTGAAGAAGTCCTCCTTCTGAATGGTGTGGTCTGTGAGCAGCATGCTGATAATATTCAATGTGTATTTGTGTCCAGGAATCCAACCAAAGGCATCATCATAAACCGGCCCAATGGGACAGATGTGTACGCCGGAGTACTAAAGGACTACACAAAGGAGGTGAGACTCACAGTTCTGGTGCTGCACTTTTAGACGCCTTCCCTGCATCATGTGCTCCCGGCTGCATTTACAACCCGGGGCCGAGACTCTGGGCCATCAGAAAAGTCATTGAGCTTGATTGGAGTGCAGTACTCCTGCGGGTTCTATTAGACCGTGCGGGTGTGGTGCGTTTCCTGAAAGCGCACCAATAATCCTGCATTCAAGAGTTTTTTGGTGCCTTTTCAGAAAGCGCACCAAACTCGCAGGATGGAATAGAAGTGTGCTGCCCTGGTTTGAGGTCAAGGGCCTCGACAGAGGGCTCCGAGGGCCACAGGTTTAGCACCCCAATACATGGAGAGGATTAGAGAGAGAAGGGAGAAAAGGTTAACCACTTCCCGTCCGGCCGCTGTATATAAACGGCCAGACGGTGGCAGTGCAGGGGCGGGTTGCCGTTCATAAATGGCGCCCGCCATTTTGGATTGTGCGCGCTCCCTGGGAGCACGCGGCACCGCGATCCAGTGCCCGCTGTGTCCTCCGGACACAGAGGAACACTGATCGTTGTACAGGACCTCTGTGTAAGGTCCCAATCATGTGATCACTGATTGGCCAATTTTTTGGACTTTTTCATTTATATAGCAAAAAAAATAAAAATCCCAGTGGTGAATAAATACCACCAAAAAAAGTTTTTTTATCTGTCTCAAAAATTCATATGGGTGCAGTGTTGCATGACCGTGCAATTGTCATTCAAAGTGCGACAGCGCTGAAAGCTGAAAAGTGGCCTGGACAGGAAGGGGGTGAAAGTGTCCGGACTGGAAGGGGGTGAAAGTGTCCGGACTGGAAGGGGGTGAAAGCGTCCGGACTGGAAGGGGGTGAAAGCGTCCGGACTGGAAGGGGGTGAAAGCGTCCGGACTGGAAGGGGGTGAAAGCGTCCGGACTGGAAGGGGGTGAAAGCGTCCGGACTGGAAGGGGGTGAAAGCGTCCGGACTGGAAGGGGGTGAAAGCGTCCGGACTGGAAGGGGGTGAAAGCGTCCGGACTGGAAGGGGGTGAAAGCGTCCGGACTGGAAGGGGGTGAAAGCGTCCGGACTGGAAGGGGGTGAAAGCGTCCGGACTGGAAGGGGGTGAAAGCGTCCGGACTGGAAGGGGGTGAAAGCGTCCGGACTGGAAGGGGGTGAAAGCGTCCAGACTGGAAGGGGGTGAAAGCGTCCGGACTGGAAGGGGGGGAAAGTGTCCGGACTTGAAATGGTTAAAGGAATCGAGTGAGGGAGTCAGGACCATAGAAGGAGGTGGAGTCAGGGAGTGAGGAAAAAGGGAGATGGCTTTCCAGAGATGGTAGGGTCGGTCAATCTTGGGGCATAGGACTACAAGGGTTCCTTTATATATTTTAGGGTGTGTATCCTATCCATATATTCTAATTCAAAAGGAGATTGCAAAACCCATTGGTATGGCCACCTTCTTTAACCAATGGGGTCTACCCTACTTGGAGCCTATCAAGCCTTTAAGAAGCACCAAGGCCAGCTCAGCTCATGGTTCCTCTGCCTGAGGGAACCATTGACGGCAAATGGGTTTTCAAGGCCAGGCTATCTAGTGCTAAGAGCCTCGAAAGTGAACATGAGCAGCTGATCCCCCTTTAAGCATTGTCCCCCAACTACTTGACCAGTAATGGTCTTCCTACTCCAGTATCTGGGGGGACACAACCCAACAAACCTCTTTTCTGAGGGAGTCTTACTGATTTCCTAACTGTATTTTGGCTCCAGTTTGGTTTTTGAGGACCCCACCATAGACTCTAAAGGTGAGTCGGTGATTTAATCAGCAATTTGCGATTTGGTTTCCCATTGAGGGAGAGGTAATTATGTTTGAAATTTTGTTTTTATCATTGTATTATTTGATCTTCCACCTTGACCCTCCATATTTGGTTTGCTGTGGGACTACTAATACACTGGTTGGCAGTCTAGTTCTGTTCCCAGTGGAGAGCCAATGCATCAGACCCGGATGAGCGATCGGTGGCATTAGGAATCCACCATCACCCTACTTTGTTCTTTGTAACAGATGCTGGGAGGTAATTACGAAGGCTTGCCCAAGGCCTTGCTCATCCCTCTGTCATGGTGCTACTTGGATTTTCCTGCCAACTTTCCAGCATAGCTCAGAAAACCGGTTGGGTCACCATGAGAATATAAACAGTCTGATGAACGACCTTTTGTCCCGTGTTCCTGATGATGTGGTTTGTTGTGTGTTTTTTTCTAGTTCGTCACTCCTGCCAACTTCCTGGCGGTCCTGAGAGGTGATGCAGAGGCGGTGAAGGGAAAAGGTTCCGGGAAGGTGATTAAGAGGTTTGTCGATTCTTCTTCTTCAGTCGTTTGGATTTTGGGGTCGATTATAGGTTGCTGCTGGACTTTGAAGAGGGATCACTGGCTTCTTGTGTAGAAATGGACCTATGACCCATCTAACAAAGGTGTCCATACCTTTGAAATTCGATGTCCCCCTGTGGCTGAATTCCAGGTTTGCTATTTTGACCTATTTGGACCGATGGAAGTCCAATATCTGCCATACCTGTGGGATCCCCCTGGAAGCTGGAAATGAGCACCGCTTCTACACTGATTGCCGTTGGCTTCCTGGTCCTGTGCTGAGCGGCTGCTCTGCTGATTACTCAACACAGGAGGTCACTCTTTCGGCATTCAGAGAACACTTTCTGTTTTGTCAATTATTGCAGAGAGTTCTCTGATTGGATGAGGCGGAGATTGTGACATCTCCACCCCATCCAATCATAGAATACTTTGCATTCATTGAGAATGAATGGCACCTGTGGCAAACAAGCGACCTCCTGTGTTCACAATGCAGCAGGGCAGCTGCTCCGCGCAGGACCCAGAAGCTTGTGAAGATCACTGTAGTAGTGGTGTCTACTATGGGGGTCTCGCAGGCAGGGCTGCTGAAACCACGGGGCCCAAAAGAGCCAACCTGACAGGGTTACCAGCACTCCTTCTGTACAGGGCCCATACCCCGTGGGCAGGGGCTTTGGGTGACTCCGTGTCACCCACCTACCCGTGGACTCCAACTACAAGTCCCCTTTCCTATTGAAGATATTGAACAAACAGTTCAAAGCCCATGCAGACAGGGCCCAGGCCAGCAGAGGGGCCCGGGCAGCTGGGTGAATCGGATATGGGTAGGGAGAGTGATTGGTACTGTTGGCCCAAAAGATCGGTATGGTTGGCCCAGGTAGGCCCAAAAGAGCCAACCTGACAGACACCCCCCCCCCCCCCCTTTACAAAAAAAAAAAAAAAAAAAAAAAAAAGACTATTTACTATGCTTCAGTTATGAATGAACACAGTGAGTGATTGGTACCGATCACTCATTGTGTTCATTCAGTGAAAGAAAGTGCCTGGTAAATGTGACCTTTTTATCGGACCCTTCCCCCACTCTCCATCCTGAAGGATTCCATTGTGTGCCTGCAGCCACTGGTGGGAAGGTGAGGAGGGGAGCCGGCAGCAATGTGGGGGGCCTGGGCAGCAGGGGAAAATGTATGGTGCACAGAGAGGGTGATTGGTGCTGCGGGTGGGGTGGGGGGCGGGGATTACTGAAACTGATCCCTTGTATGGCTCTCTCTGCAGCAGCTGAAAGATAGCAGGAGTGGGAGGAGAACAAGTCGGCTTTCAGCAACTGCAGAGAGAGCTATACAGGTGATCGGTTCCAGTGATTGCCCCCTTCCCCCGCTGCACCAGTCCCCTGCTGCCCAGGCCCCCAACCTTGCTACCGGCTTCCCTCCTCTCCTTTCCACCCGCAGCTGCAGGTACACAATTGAATCCTTCAAGATGGAGAGTGGGGGAAGGGTCCGGTAAAAATGTCACATTTACCAGTCTCTTTGTGAATGAACACAATCAGTGATCGGTACCAATCACTCACTGTGTTCATAACTGAAGCATAGTAAACTATTTTTTTTGGGGGGGGGGGTGAAAGTCTGTCAGGTTGGCTCTTTTGGGTCTACCGTACCGATCTTTTGGGCCAACCGTACCGATCACCCTTACTGCCCATATCTGATTCACCCAGCTGCCTGGGCCCCGTACAGAAGGAGTGGTGGTTCCCCCTTATCCATGGCCCTGTGTGCATGGGCTTTGAACGGTTTGTTCAATATCCTCAACAGGAAAGGAAACTTGTAGTTGGAGTCCACTGGTAGGTGGGTGATACGGAGTCACCCAAAGCCCCCCTACCCATGGGGTATGGTATATAATTACATGTCCAAGCTGGCCCAGTGTAACTACATATACAATATCCACGCCTGCAATTCTTCTCTGAAGCAGAACTAAACTGTCTCTGAGCACCACAAGCTGACAACAGTAATTCATGTTTTAATAATTAAAGCAAACCCCCCCCCCCCCCCCCCCATCCATCCATCCATCCACGTCTCCTTGCTTTATCTTGTTGAGAAATCACTTTGAAAAACAACCCCTTCAGTGTTTCTAGCCGTCCTGGGATTGATCTGCCCTTAGCTCAGGCATGCAGGCAGGAGGGTGTGCTTAGCTGAGAAAGCCCCTCCCCCCCTTCTGAAGACTTCTGGAATGTATGACATCATTTTGGCCTAGGCCAAAAACCAGGAAGCAGCTGAAGAAATGGTAAAAAAAATAAATAGCATTTAAAACAAGTAACTCTAATATGAATACGGACTCCACACAGCTTTCGGTTGGGGCATGAAAATCACATCATTTGGTTAAGTCACTTTTTTTTTCTGCTCTCTTGCAGCGGACCGAACGATCACGTCTTTGTTTACTTCACTGATCACGGAGCCCCGGGTCTGCTGGCATTTCCCAATGACGATGTAAGCACCACCCCCACCCCATGCCTGTTAGACGCGGCCCTGCACATGGCGCGGATTGAAACGCCGCGAGTGAACAAAGCCATAGCTGTGTATCTGCAGTGTGGGATCTAAGGCACTGCTGCCATGACTGTTAGTCTCGGGAGAATTGGGGATGTCACTGCTGTGCATAGTTCTCCTTGCCGGAGGCCCTGGCATGAGGAAGCAAAGCCCTGCCTCTGCCAAGATGGCCGCCGGCACACAAAGCATGATGGCCCTTTTTGCACTCTGCCTGGCCATTTGGACACAGCTTCCAGACGTCCATTCCTTTTTAATAAGTAGATTGGGAGACTTATTAGATCTGTTTTTGTGGATTGCTTTTCAGAGGGTAAGGTCATCTCCTCACCACCTGTTTTGATCATGAGGAGGCTGCCCCCACCACATGCATTGCACACCATTGCGGGGTATTTGTGGCACTGCCTTGTCCACTACAATGGGTCGGCAGTGGTCCTGCCTGCTCAACACATTGGAGGGGGGGAGGGAGGGAATGTTTTTGCCGTGAAGCAATCCATCAGGGCTGGGCATGTGTACACCCCCTCAGACTACTGTGTTAGTGTAAGGCGAACAGTTGGGGGGAGGGGGAGGGCTCAACCACCTATTTTTTCTGCCCCTCTAGCCTGTGTGAACAATCCTTAAGGCTGGGCATACACTAGATTTTTTGAAAGAACAATTCGGTGACTTGATGACGACTTTTGGAATGAAAGGAGAACAGTTGGGGGGAGGGGGAGGGCTCAACCACCTATTTTTACCTAGGCATGCAGACTGCTTCTACAAACATTGGTGAAAGAATGGGTCGCTCTCAGGAGCTCAGTGACTCCAAGCGTGGTCCCGTGATAGGTGGCCACCTGGGCAATAAGTCCATCCGTGACATTTCCTGGCTACTAAATATTCCACGCTCAACTGTTAGTGGGATTATAACAAAGTGGAAGCAACTGGGAACAACAGCAACTCAGCCACCAAGTGGTAGGCCACGTCACATGACAGGGCGGGGTCAGCGCATGCTGAAGCGCACAGTGCGCAGAAGTCGCCAACTGTCTGCAGAGTCAATCGCTAAAGACCTCCAAACTTGGTGTGGCCTTCAGATGAGCCCAACAACAGTGCGTAGAGAGCTTCATGGAATGGGTTTCCATGGCCCAGCAGCTGCATCCAAGCCTTCCATCACCAAGTGCAATGCAAAGCGTCGGATGCCGTGGTGTAAAGCACGCCGCCACTGGACTCTAGAGCAGTGGAGACGTGTTCTCTGGAGTGACTAATCACGCTTCTCTGTCTGGCAATCCAATTGACATGTCTGGGTTTGGCGGTGGCCAGGAGAACGGTACTTGTCTGACTGCATTGTGCCAAGTGTAAAGTTTGGTGGAGGGGGATTATGGTGTGGGGTTATTTTTCAGGGGTTGGGCTTGGCCCCCTAGTTCCAGTGAAAGGAACTCTTAAGGCGACACTTCAGACAATTTCATGCTCCCAACTTTGTGGGAAGAGTTTGGGGATGGCCCCTTCCTGTTCCAACATGACTGCGCACCAGTGCACAAAGCAAGGTCCATAAAGACATGGAGGAGCCAGTTTGGGGTGGAGGAACTTGACTGTCCTGCACAGAGTCCTGACCTCAACCCCATAGAACACCTTTGGGATGAATTAGAGCGGAGACTGCGAGCCAGGCCTCCTCCCCCGACATCAGTGCCTGACCTGACAAATGTGCTTCTGGAAGAATGGTCCAACATTCCCATAGACACCCTCCTAAACCTTGTGGACGGCCTTCCCAGAAGAGTTGAAGCTGTTATAGCTGCAAAGGGCGGGGCCAACTCCATATTGAACCCTACGGACTAAGACTGGGGGGCCATTAAAGGTCATGTGCGTGGAAAGGGCGGGGCCAACTCAATATTGAACCCTACGGACTAAGACTGGGGGGCCATTAAAGGTCATGTGCGTGGAAAGGGCGGGGCCAACTCAATATTGAACCCTACAGACTAAGACTGGGGGGCCATTAAAGGTCATGTGTGTGGAAAGGCCGGCGGCCCAATACTTGGGGTAATATAGTGTGTGTGTGTGTGTATATATATATATATATATATATTGTACATTCACATCAGTCACCATCATTCATACAATGCATTTCTTTGGTTCTCCATTGCAGCTCCACGTCGAGGAACTCAACAAAACCATTCAATACATGTATGACAACAAGAAGTACAAAAAGGTAAGTGCCCATTGGTGTCATAGGAAGTGTCTGTAGTCCAGTGGTGTCGCTGTGCTGAGTCTTCTGTAGCAGAACCTGTTGGAGTGACATGGAAATATTTCTCTTCCAGATGGTTCTGTACATCGAGGCCTGTGAGTCCGGCTCCATGATGAATCACCTACCCAACAACATTGACGGTAAGTACGCCAGGATCCGCGCCGGTTTTCTCCGTGAGAGCAAATTCAATAAAACATACGCCAAATGTTACCACAGACTCTCACTTACAGAATAGTACATTTATGTACAAGAAAATGGCAAAGTTTATGCTCCATGCTGATTGGAGAGCTCTGATTTGACTCCTCAAGGGGGTTTTTTTTTTTTTCTTTTTTTTAAAATAAATTTTTGCAGGGATACCACACATATGTGGTGCAATCACTGTTTACATACATGTGCAGGATCTATGGACACATTTTCATGTATACATGGGGGTTGGGAACCCTTTTAGGATTATTTTTTTTTATTATTTTATTAAAATCATCATTTTTTTTTTTTTTTTTTTCTTTTTTCTTTTCTTTTTTTCCTTTTCTTTTTTTCTTGATATGACCCATCTCAATACTGTAAAATCTGCAGTTGTAGAAAATGATACCAAGTTTGTGGTTGCAGCTGTAGCCAGGAGCTTGTTTTAACTACTTCCAGTCCAGGATGATTTAATGCGTCCCATGGATGTGAAGTGTTTAAAGTGCTACTGAACCTACAACAGTAAAATCCGTCTGTAGATGCTATAAAGCATGCTTGTTATACTCACTGTGGAACCCAAGGGGTTAATCTTCTGCATTGTGTAAAAAGTCTGTTTGATCCTGTCTTCTCTGATCCTCCCCTTCTTCTACTGTCCCCAATCCATCTGCTGATAGTACATAGCTCTAGGAGTCACTATGCACATGCTCAGTTTGGTGTGTATTGCGGTAGAGGGTGCATGTGATCAGCACAGGGCCAATCAGCGTTGTCCAGACAGAGGGCCAGGGGTCATGCAGCCTCATAGGACAGTCAGAGGAGAATGAAAACGCCTCCTTCAAGCTTTAACCAGTGCTCTACTGGTCCCTGATAGAAGTCACAAGACTGCTACAGTCAGGTCCATAAATATTGGGACATCGACACAATTCTAACATTTTTGGCTCTATACAACAGAATTACAACAGTTTGCATATGTGCCTCCCACTTATTAAGGAACCAAAAGTAATGGGACAGAATAATAATCATAAATCAAACTTTCACTTTTTAATACTTGGTTGCAAATCCTTTGCAGTCAATTACAGCCTGAAGTCTGGAACGCATAGACATCCCCAGACGCTGGGTGTCATCCCTGGTGATGCTCTGCCAGGCCTCTACTGCAACTGTCTTCAGTTCCTGCTTGTTCTTGGGGCATTTTCCCTTCAGTTTTGTCTTCAGCAAGTGAAATGCTCAATCGGATTCAGGTCAGGTGATTGACTTGGCCATTGCATAACATTCCACTTCTTTCCCTTAAAAAACTCTTTGGTTGCTTTTGCAGTCTGCTTTGGGTCATTGTCCATCTGCACTGTGAAGCGTCCAATGAGTTGTGAAGCATTTGGCTGAATATGAGCAGATAATATTCCCGAAACACTTCACAATTCATCCGGCTGCTTTTGTCAGCAGTCACATCATCAATAAATACAAGAGAAGCAGTTCCATTGGCAGCCATACATGCCCACGCCATGACACTACCACCACCATGCTTCACTGATGAGGTGGTATGCTTAGGATCATGAGCAGTTCCTTCTCCATACTCTTCTCTTCCCATCACTCTGGTACAAGTTGATGTCGGTCTCATCTGTCCATAGGATGTTGTTCCAGAACTGTGAAGGCTTTTTTTACATGTCGTTTGGCAAACTCTAATCTGGCCTTCCTGTTTTTGAGGCTCACCAATGGTTTCCATCTTGTGGTGAACCCTCTGTATTCACTCTGGTGAAGTCTTCTCTTGATTGGTGACTTTGACACACATACACCTCCCTCCTGGAGAGTGTTCTTGATCTGGCCAACTGTTGTGAAGGGTGTTTTCTTCACCAGGGAAAGAATTCTTCGCTCATCCACCACAGTTGTTTTCCGTGGTCTTCCGGGTCTTTTGGTGTTGCTGAGCTCACCGGTGCGTTCCTTCTTTTTAAAAATGTTGCAAACAGTTGTTTTGGCCACGCCTAATGTTTTTGCTATCTCTCTGATGGGTTTGTTTTGTTTTTTTCAGCCTAATGATGGCTTCACTGATAGTGACAGCTCTTTGGATCTCATCTTGAGAGTTGACAGCAACAGATTCCAAATGCAAATAGCACACTTGAAATGAACTCTGGACCTTTTATCTGCTCATTGTAATTGGGATAATGAGGGAATAACACACACCTGGCCATGGAACAGCTGAGAAGCCAATTGTCCCATTACTTTTGGTCCCTTAATAAGTGGGAGGCACATATGCAAACTGTTGTAATTCCTACACCGTTCACCTGGTTTGGAGTGTAAATACCCTCAAATTAAAGCTGACAATCTGCAGTTAAAGCACATCTTGTTTGTTTCATTTCAAATCCATTGTGGTGATATATAGAGCCAAAAATGTTAGAATTGTGTCCATGTCCCAATATTTATGGACCTGACTGTATATACTGCTGATGAGAAAAGGTATTTAGCAGTTTATATTTACTAAAATAATTGCATTTCCATGTTCTGCGTACTGTGCGAGAGCAAATATAGTGAATGCAGGGTCCGGGGAGAGCGGATATAGTGAATGCGGGGTCCGGGGAGAACGGATATAGTGAATGCGGGGTCCGGGGAGAGCAGATATAGTGAATGCGGGGTTCGGGGAGAGCAGATATAGTGAATGCGGGGTCCGGGGAGAGCGGATATAGTGAATGCGGGGTCCGGGGAGAGCGGATATAGTGAATGCGGGGTCCGGGGAGAGCGGATATAGTGAATGCGGGGTCTGGGGAGAGCGGATATAGTGAATGCGGGGTCCGGGGAGAGCGGATATAGTGAATGCGGGGTCCCAGGAGACCAAATATAGTGAATGCAGGTTCCCGGGAGAGCGGATATAGTGAATGCGGGGTCCGGGGAGAGCAGATATAGTGAATGCGGGGTCCGGGGAGAGCAGATATAGTGAATGCGGGGTCGGGGAGAGCAGATATAGTGAATGCGGGGTCCGGGGAGAGCGAATATAGTGAATGCGGGGTCCGGGGAGAGCGAATATAGTGAATGCGGGTCCGGGGAGAACGGATATAGTGAATGCGGGGTCCGGGGAGAACGGATATAGTGAATGCGGGGTCCGGGAAGAGCAGATATAGTGAATGCAGGGTCCCAAGAGACCGGATATAGTGAATGTGGGGTCTGGGGAGAACGGATATAGTGAATGCGGGGTCCGGGAAGAGCAGATATAGTGAATGCGGGGTCCGGGGAGAGCGGATATAGTGAATGCGGGGTCCGGGGAGAGCGGATATAGTGAATGCAGGGTCCGGGGAGAGCGGATCTGGTGAATGCAGGGTCCCAAGAGACCGGATATAGTGAATGTGGGGTCCCAAGAGACCAGATATAGTGAATGCGGGGTCAGGGGTTTAGTAACACTTTAACATATTGGAAGAAATGAAAAGAAGAAACTTTAATAATTTTATAGTTTTATAAATTATTCACTGACTGATATTTTTGAAAAGAAAAAAAAATGCTGAATTAACCCCCCAATAATGGACGGGTATTTGAGGTCTCAGGCGTCCTGAGAATGACGTTGGCGGGTGCTCAGGAATCCCTTAGAGATCATTTATTGTATATTCATAACTTGCTGACAGAAGAATTCTTGGTGGGTATGACTGATCATGGAAGACGGCGTCTTTTCTTGCGGTTGATGGTGACTTCCTAAATCCTCCTGTGTATACCGACCCTTCATCGTTCTCACTTCCCTTTGTTGTTACGCATCCTCCATGTTCTTTCACAGATGTCTGTACACCCCCCACCCCCACCCCGGGACATTCATCCAGAATCTACTCCAACCATCAGATTGCAGAACTGAGAACAACTTCATATCTCACATGATGCTTCATACCAGCTGTGTATTCTGCTGACAGATCATGTGATGTTCCATCATCTGGGTTTTCCGGGTGACTTTAAAGCGACATCCGAGGCTGACATGTCGTTCACACTGAGCACTTTGTTGCTTTTTCAGTGCGTCTAAAGTCCAAACATTTTGGAGCCTTGGATAGAGCAGTGAACAATTAAACATTTAGAATGTTTTTTTGGCTATTGTAGTCCCATTGAGGAGATTTCTCTTCAGTTCCTGTCCCAATGACACCACAAGAAGTGAAAAGAAATCCCTCCAAAACTAGCACAAATTCCCTTTAGCCCCCCCCGCTGCAATTGAAGCCTCACAGAGATTTTAATAATTCTACACTCCACATAAAGCAGAGCAGAGACCCTATCGTGGTGGGGAGTGCAGCTGTCCTATTGTGGTGTTGGAAGGTACGCTCGGTATATTTGCACATTATGGCATACTTACCAGGTAAACTCCCTTCTATGTTCTGCTGCCAATCTCCTTCAGCGATGCTACATCTCCAATGTTCTTGGTCCCCTCCAGCAATGCTATAGTCCCAATCTTCTTGGTTCCCAACCTCCTGGGTCCCCTCCAGCGATGCTACGTCCCCAACCTCCTGGGTCCCATCCAGCGATGCTACGTCCCCAACCTCCTGTGTCCCATCCAGCGATGCTACATCTCCAACCTCCTGGGTCCTGTCCAGTGATGCCACGTCCCCAGTCTCCATGATCTCCTCCAGCAATGTTACATCCCTAGTCTCCTTGATCCTCTCCAGAGATGCTACATCCCCAGTCTTCTTGGTCCCCTCCAGAGATGCTACATCCTCAATCTCCATGGACCCCTCTCAAAGGTGCTGCGTCCCCAGTCCTTTGGTCCCCTCACAGTAATGGTACATGCTGATATTTTTGGTCCTCTCCATTGATGCTACATCCCCAACCTCCTGGGTCCTATCCAACGATGCTATGTCTCCTAGGTCTTTGGTCTTCTCCAACAATGCTACATCCCCAGTCTCCTGGGTCCTCTCCAGCAATGCTACGTGCCCAATCTCCTTGGTCCTCTCCAGCAATGCTACATGCCCAGTCTCCTTGGTCCTCACCAGTGATGCTACGTGCCCAATCTCCTTGGTCCTCTCCAGAAATGCTATAGTCCCAATCTTCTTGGTTCCCTCCCAGCAATGCTACATCCCCAGCCTCCTGGGTCATATCCATCGATGCTATGTTCCCCTGTGTTTTGCTCCCCCTCCAACAATGCTTCATCCCCAGTTCTCTTGGTTCCCTCCAGGAATGGTACAACCCCAATTCTTTGGTCCTCTTCAGTGATGCTACGTGTCTAGTCTCCTTGGTCCCCTCCAGCAATGCTATAGTCCTTGGATCCCTCCCAGCAATGCTACATCCCCAACCTCCTGGGTCCCGTCCAGCTATGCTATGTCCCCTATGTTTTTGGTCCCCACCAACAATGCTTCATCCTCAGTTTTCTTGGTTTCCTCCAGGGATGCTACATACCCAAACTCCTTGGTCCTCTCCAGTGATGCTACCTCCCCAATCTCCTTGGTCTCCCCATTGCTGCTGCTGGTCATCCTCTGGGTTCTTGAATGGCGGACTCGGGGTGACATAATACATGCAGGACTTTATAGCATATTTGCAGTTTATGGGACACTTACCCATCAAAGCCCCACTCAGTGATGCAATATCTGCCATCACCACCATTGACCTCATTACCTGGTCATCTTCAAGGTTTTGGTGTCTTGATGGTCCAGTCTGAGATTCTGTTACTCCCATGCATGTGCACTGGATTTCTTTCATCCCAAGGCATGTTGGGATTGTACCCTGAGAAGCAATGTTCTATCAGTTGATTCAAAAGCCCTTATGGGTGTCCTTTGGCTGCCTGTGATGAGGTCAGTCTTGCTCGGGCTGCACAGTGGCATAGTGGTCGGTGCTGTCCCTTGCAGCACTGTGCTTCTGGATTAAATTCCCACACGGGGCACCATCTTCACACTGCTGGTATATTCTCCCCATTATTGCCTGGATTTCCTCCAGCCACGGTGCAAATGTACATGCAGTGTCTGATTTTATTTATTTATTTTTAATGAATGCAAACCTTACAACAAAATAGATACAAATATAATTCTTAGTTCCTCATGTTTTTATTGTGCACTATAAAGAGAGGACCTGTGTGCCTGGATCCTGCAGATATTTATACAATATGGCCGCATTATATTCGGCGTTCCGATTTGTGATGGACTGTGAACTGCTGCTTGTCTCAGATTCATTCACCGGGGCAGATATTGTGGAAAGCGGATCATTCTCCATTTTATATTTTACATCTTTATATTCTCTATTTTTTCAGTTTACGCCACGACAGCCGCCAACTCTCACGAGTCCTCATACGCCTGTTATTATGACGAGAAGCGAGATACCTACCTTGGTGATCTTTACAGCGTCAGCTGGATGGAGGACTCTGATGTGGTGAGATGTGGTTTTGGGGTATTTTTTTTCATGTACACACATTTTAATGCCTCGATTTACACCGCCAGGCATTTGGAATAAGAACTACACATGCTATCCAACGGCAGCCAATCAGCTCTCATGTTACCAAAGATCACTAGTTCTAGATCAGAAATTCAGAATAAACGATACAATGTATATAGATGGTAATGGAGTAACTGCCTAAATTTAAAATTTTTAAATCCAATCCACAGGACGCTGCGCCTATAAGACCATAGTCAGCTTGGCTGATGCGCCCCTCCCCCCGCTGAGCCTAGTTTAGTTTGATTGACAGTGGCTCCTAGGCTGTGCTTAGTGAATGTAACCACTCCCCTGAACATGTAACCACACCCCCAGCTCACTTTGACAGTGGCTCCTTGCGTGAGGCTCCTAAGCTGTGCTTAGTGAATGTAACCACTCCCCTGAACATGTAACCACGCCCCCAGCTCAGTGTGATTGACAGTGGCTCTTTTCATGACACTCCTAAGCTGTGCTTAGTGAATTTAACCACTCCCTTGAACATGTAACCACGCCCCCAGCTCAGTTTGATTGACAGTGGCTCCTAGCAGGAGGCTCCCAGGCTGTGCTTTAATGAATGTAACCACTCCCCTGAACATGTAACCACGCCCCCAGCTTAGTGTGATTGACAGTGGCTCTTTTCATGACACTCCTAAGCTGTGCTTAGTGAATTTAACCACTCCCTTGAACATGTAACCACGCCTCCAGCTCAGTTTGATTGACAGTGGCTCCTAGCAGGAGGCTACTAGGTGGTGCTTAGTGAAAGTAACCACTCATCTGCACAGGCAACCACGCCCCCAGCTCCGTTTGATTGACAACAACTCCTAATAAAAGATTTGCTGTCACAACAGCAGCTGCCCGAGTAAATGTAACCACACCCCTGGCATATGTAACCACACCCCTGGCATATGTAACCACACCCCTGGCATAAGTAACCACACCCCTGGCATATGTAACCACACCCCTTGCTTGGTATAATTGGCTGCAGCTTCTATCGGGAGACTCACTGTCACAATAGAAGCAACGTTTTGTACATGTAACCACGCCCCCAGATCAGTTTGATTGACAGTGGCCTTAAGCCTGCTGTCACAATAGGAGATGCCCCTAGTCAATGTGACCATGCCCCCTGCACATTACCACGCCCCCTGCACATTACCACGCCCCCCCATACATGTGACCATACCCCCTGCACATTAACCACGCCCCCCATACATGTGACCATACTCCCTGCACATTAACCACGCCCCCCATACATGTGACCATACCCCCTGCACATTAACCATGCCCCCCATACATGTGATCATAGCCCCTGCACATTAGCCACGCCCCCCCATACATGTGACCATACCCCCTGCTCATTACCACGCTCCCATACATGTGACCACACCCCCTGCACATTAACCACGCCTCCCATACATGTGACCATACCCCCTGCACATTAACCACGCCATACCCCCTGCACATTAACCACACCCCCCATACATGTGACCATACCCCCTGCTCATTACCACGCCCCCCATACATGTGACCACACCTCCTGCACATTAACCACGCCCCCCATACATGTGACCATACCCCCTGCACATTACCCACACCCCCCCATACATGTGACCATACCCCCTGCACATTACTGCACCCCCCATACATGTGACCATACCCCCTGCACATTACCACTCCCCCCCATACATGTGACCATACCCCCTGCACATTACCACTCCCCCCCCCATACATGTGACCATACCCCCTGCACATTACCACTCCCCCCCCATACATGTGACCATACCCCCTGCACATTACCACTCCCCCCCATACATGTGACCATACCCCCTGCACATTACCACTCCCCCCCATACATGTGACCATACCCCCTGCACATTACTGCACCCCCCATACATGTGACCATACCCCCTGCACATTACTGCACCCCCCATACATGTGACCATACCCCCTGCACATTACCACTCCCCCCCATACATGTGACCATACCCCCTGCACATTACCACTCCCCCCCCATACATGTGACCATACCCCCTGCACATTACCACTCCCCCCCATACATGTGACCATACCCCCTGCACATTACCACCCCCCCCCCCCCCCCCCCCCCCCATACATGTGACCATACCCTCCGCACATTACCACTTTCCCCCCCCATACATGTGACCATACCCTCTGCACATTAACCCCTCCCCCTGTACATGTGACCACGCCCGCTGCACTTGTGAGGCGTGTTAGGAGAGCCCATGTGGTCACATAACCTTTAATTAAGTGTTACTAAAAGTTGCAGTTTTTCTGAGTGTTGCCCAGCGAAGACATTGCATTGTTTTCTATGTATATGGCTGGGAGTTTTCTGTCTGCCCCATGACCTCACATATGATATAATGGTTGTCTTCTAGGAGGATCTGTTGAAGGAGACGCTTCACAAACAGTTTGTATTGGTCAAACAACACACCAATACCAGTCATGTGATGCAGTACGGGAACCGGGTGAGTGACGGCGGATTCAGTGTTGGGTGGAGCTGTATAGACGTGTGCACTGTCAGTACATTGTAGCCATCTGCAGAAATCTCTTCCGGGATTTCTCTTTAGTGAATGTTGTAACAACAATGTTACTTTGTATACTTTGTACAAGATGGCAGCCAATGCCGTCCACTTACATGGGCAGGTTCTGCTTCCTAATTAGTAAGGCTGCACAGTGCTTGTTTCATTCTGATTGGTTGTAGATAATGCACTTGGTATGATTTTCATCTCAGCAGTCATGTTAAAGTATATATCCAGGCATTACCCAGATGTATCCCAATACCTCCCTTTCCCCATCTAGATCAGGTCCCAGTGTTATTTCTTGTCTTTTATCCTGTTCATGTAGTCATAAACCACATGAATTACCCTCTGCAATGTCTTTGTTCGGCTTTTGAAATTCATGCAGGGGCAGCTTCTAGGCCGCTTGTGCCAACATGAATCCTGGGGGGTCGCATGCAGGCCTTTGCCACTTTTTGTGTAGCCCTTCTGGGCCCCTGCAGACCCTAATCTGTGTTTACCTATTGCCCTGTTATAGCGGTGATCACTAACAGTCATATGTAATGTGTGCACCCTCTCTGACCATCTCTTGTATGATGTCCACACTCTCTGACCATCTCTTGTATGATGTCCACACTCTCTGACCATCACTTGTATCATGTCTGCAGTCTCTGACCATCTCCTGTAGCATGTCTGCAGTCTCTGACCATCTCCTGTAGCGTGTCTGCAGTCTCTGACCATCTCCTGTAGCGTGTCTGCAGTCTCTGACCGTCTCCTGTAGGATGTCTGCAGTCTCTGACCATCTCCTGTAGCGTGTCTGCAGTCTCTGACCATCTCCTGTAGCGTGTCCGCAGTCTCTGACCATCTCCTGTAGCATGTCCGCAGTCTCTGACCATCTCCTGTAGCATGTCCGCAGTCTCTGACCATCTCCTGTAGCATGTCCGCAGTCTCTGACCATCTCCTGTAGGATGTCTGCAGTCTCTGACCGTCTCCTGTAGGATGTCTGCAGTCTCTGACCATCTCCTGTAGGATGTCTGCAGTCCCTGACCGTCTCCTGTAGGATGTCTGCAGTCCCTGACCGTCTCCTGTAGGATGTCTGCAGTCCCTGACCGTCTCCTGTAGGATGTCTGCAGTCTTTGACCATCTCCTCTATTGTGTCTGCAGTCTCTGACCATCTCCTGTATTGTGTCTGCAGTCTCTGACCATCTCCTGTAGGGTGTCTGCAGTCTCTGACCATCTCCTGTAGGGTGTCTGCAGTCTCTGACCATCTCCTGTAGGGTGTCTGCAGTCTCTGACCATCTCCTGTAGGGTGTCTGCAGTCTCTGACCATCTCCTGTAGGGTGTCTGCAGTCTCTGACCATCTCCTGTAGGGTGTCTGCAGTCTCTGACCATCTCCTGTACTGTGTCTGCAGTCTCTGACCATCTCCTGTACTGTGTCTGCAGTCTCTGACCATCTCCTGTACTGTGTCTGCAGTCTCTGGTCATCTCCTGTAGTGTGTCTGCAGTATCTGGTCATCTCCTGTAGTGTGTCTGCAGTCTCTGGTCATCTCCTGTAGTGTGTCTGCAGTCTCTGGTCATCTCCTGTAGTGTGTCTGCAGTCTCTGGTCATCTCCTGTAGTGTGTCTGCAGTCTCTGGTCATCTCCTGTAGTGTGTCTGCAGTCTCTGGTCATCTCCTGTAGGGTGTCTGCAGTCTCTGACCATCTCCTGTAGTGTGTTTTCAGTCTCTGACCATCTCCTGTAGTGTGTCTGCAGTCTCTAGTCATCTCCTGTAGTCTGTCTGCAGTCTCTGACCATCTCCTGTAGTCTGTCTGCAGTCTCTGACCATCTCCTGTATGGTGTCTGCAGTCTCTGACCGTCTCTGGTATCGTGCCCATGATCTTTGACTATATCCTGTTGTGTGTCTGCTGTCTCCAAAAATAAATATTGATATACTTTTATGTGCAGCCCTTTTGTGATGCCCCACTTGGGGCCCCCATATTAAGAAAGTTGACCACCACTGATCTAGGCATTCTTACTAACATAAGCAGACCCCCAGAGCTACATCACCCAAAAGTCATTTTCCAACATAGTCTGTGGGTCCCAGAAATCAAGGCAGCAGCACTGCTGGGAAAAAAATCAATGTATGGATGTAGAGAAGGGGCGGGGGATGGGTGGAGTTCTGTAGTCCAGCAAGAAGGGCTGACAATGCTGCTTGAGATCTCAGAGACACTGTTGTCAGCTCAAAGATGAAGTTTAAAGGAGCAATACTGGGGAATATGTGCAATTATAGCAGAGATGTTGGAATGTGTATGTACTAATCGGGTCAGGAACTAATCGCACTTAATGGGGGGGTTAACCCTATAAACCCAACGAGGCGTTAACATTCATATTCTGTATCTTTATTGCTTTCTCCTTATCAGACGATTTCCAAGATGAAGGTGAACCAGTTCCAGGGTGGCGCTAAAACAGCGGCCCCACGCATGACCCTGGAGCCCATACACAATCTGGACCTGACCCCCAGCCCAGAGGTTCCCATGGCCATCCTCAAGCGGAAATTCCTGGCTACCAATGATTATAGCGAGGCCCGGGATGTACTGAGCAGGATAAAGGCCCTACAGGAGGTGAGGGGACCCGGCCACTGATAACAAACATCAAATATAGAAGCGTTTCATTTCCATTTAATAGTTAAACTGCAGATATATAAGAAAAAAAAATTTACGTCATTTGTGTATTAACTGAAATAAAAAATGTGTGCTTAAAAATCAGCAAATTACATAGAACCTCCGGACATTCTATATCTTCTGAAAGCAGAGAACCTGGAGAATAAAATAGTGGCCTATATATATATATATATATATATATATATATATATATATATATATATATATATATATATATATATATATATATATATATATATATATATATATATAATTTTTTTTTTATAAATGTATATAAATTTAAAAAAAATATATATATATATATATATATATATAATGTATATGTGTGTGTGTGTATATATATATATATAAATTTATATATTTTCTTTTTTCATAAATGTATATAAGTTTGAAAAAGAGAAATATATATATATATATATATATATATATTTTTTTTTTTTTTACATTTATATACATTTATAAAAAAAAATATATAATTTTTATATATATATATATATTTTTATATATATATATATAATTTTTTTTTTAATCGATATAAATTAAAAAATAAATAAGTGTGTGTGTTTATTTATTTATTTATTTTTTTATTTATATATAGATTTTATAAATCTATATATATATATATATATATATATATATATATATATATATATATATATTCTTTAATTTATATACATTTATTAAAAAAATAAATATATAAAATATTTATAAAATCTATATATAAATAAAAAAAAAATTATATATATATATTTATTATTTTTTTTAATGGGTATAAATTAAAAAATAAACACACACACTTATTTATTTTTATTGTATTTTTTAATTTTATATTAATTTTTAATTATATATATATATATATATATAATTTTTTTTTTTATTTATATATAGATTTTATAAATCTATATATATATTTTTTTTTAATTTATATACATTTTATTAAAAAAAATAAATATATAAAATCTATATAGAAATAAAAAAAAAAAACTTTTTTAATAAATGTATATAAATTTAAAAATTAAATAAATAAAAATATATATATATTTATCTTGCAGGCTATTTGCATAGCCGTTTTTCAAATACATATAAATTAATATTAGTTCACGCAAACACAATACCCAATGTTTCCTCCTCTTGTGTTCATATCAAATAGTTACATTGTAGACGACATTTATATCAGTCCCTCTTCTGCTTCCCTCCAGGCCAAAGCCTTGATCAAGGAATCGGTGAAGAAGATTGTTTCTGTGGTGACGGATTCCGACGAGTTCACAAACGAGATTTTCACTCGATCGGACGGATATTAATGATCGCTCGTGTTACCGCGCAGCCGCCGAGCGCTTCAGGAACCAGTGCTTCAACTGGCACAACCCCCTGGTAAGTCCCAATCGTTATTCTGTGGCGAACGTAGAAGATTGAGAAAGCATTCTCTGAACGGCGCCTGGGCCAAGCGGCCGACCTCCTGTGTTCACAATGCAGCAGCACAGCCACTCTGCGCAGGACCTGGAAGCTAGTGGAGATCACTGTAGTGGGGTGTAGTAGCAGTGTCTACTACAGTGATTTTCCAGCTTCTAACGCAGGGGAGTCGAATGCAAAAATGCTATTTCAATACGGGCCAAATCAGCATTATGGTTGCCCTAAAAGGGCCAGTTGTATCTGATTAGATGTTCAGAGCACCCCACCCCCCTATACATCAGATGTCAAGAGCCCCCCCCCCCCCCACTATAAGAAGTCCAGAGCCCCCCACTCTACCTTACATCACCGTGCACCCCCCTTACCTTGCGCTGCTGCTGGGAAGAAGCTGAAGGTGGAGCTGTGAAGCAAAAAGTGCAGAGTCTGGAGGAGGACCAGAGAAGGGCTGGAGTCTGCTTCCAGAGTCTGCTGAATGCTGAGACCAGGAGAGGCAGAGATGAGGGGATGCTGTGGCTGCACAGAGAGGTGTGCAGGATCTGTAGGAGGAGTTCTGATTTTCTGGGATGGGGGCAGAGATGAGCTTCTCCATGGCTACACGAAGAAGCGCAGGATCTAGCGGAAGCGGAGGAGTTCTGTTGTCCTCTCTTCTGCCGACTGCTGAGATGGGGGAGGGGATTGGCAAGGATGTTCCACTTTGTGGCTGCACAGACAGGTGTTTGATCTGTAGGAGGAGTTCCGATTTGCTGGGATGGGAGCAGAGATGAGCGTCTCCACGGCTACATGAAGAAGTGCAGGATCTAGTTGTAGCGGAGGAGTTCTGTCGTCCTCTCTGCTCCCAACTGCTGAGATGGAGGGGGGGGGGGGGGGATGTGGGCAAGGATGTTCCTCTTTGGCTGCACAGAGAGGTGTGCAGGATCTGTAGGAGGAGTTTGGATTTGCTGGGATGGGGGCAGAGATGAGCTTCTCAACGGCTACATGAAGAAGCGCAGGATCTAGCGGTAGCGGAGGAGTTCTGTCGTCCTCTCTGCTGCTGACTGCTGCGATGGGGGGGTGGGGGCAAGGATGTTCCTCTCTGTGGCTGCACAGACAGGTGTCCAGGATCTGTAGGAGGAGTTCCGATTTGCTGGGATGGGGGCAGATATGAGCGTCTTCATGGCTACATGAAGAAGCGCAGGATCTAGCGGAAGCGGAGGAGTTTCTGTCGTCCTCTCTGCTGCCGACTGTTGAGATGGGGGGGGTGGGGACAAGGATGTATCTCCCTGTGGCTGCACAGACAGGTGTGCAGGATCTGTAGGAGGAGTTCTGATTTGCTGGGATGGGGGCAGATATGAGCGTTTCCACGGCTACATGAAGAAGTGCAGGATCTAGCGGTAGCGGAGGAGTTCTGTCGTCCTCTCTGCTGCTGAGATGGAGGGGTGGGGGGGTAGGGGCAAGGATGTTCCTCTTTGGCTGCACAGAGAGGTGTGCAGGATCTGTAGGAGGAGTTTGGATTTGCTGGAATGGGGGGCAGATATAAGCGTTTCCACGGCTACATGAAGAAGCGCAGGATCGAGCGGTAGAGTTCTGTCAACTTCTCTGCTGCCGACTGCTGAGATGGGGAGGGGGGGGTGCAAGGATGTTCCTTGGCTGCACAGAGAAGCGCAGGATCTGTAGGAGGAGTTGTGTCCTCCTCTCTGTGCTGCTGACTGCTGTGACATGGTGGGGGTAGGAGAAGTGAAAGAGCCACATGAAATGGCCTGGTGGGCCAGATTTGACCTGCAGTCCTTGTGTTTGACGTGTTCTAGAGGGATCCCACAGGTATGGTGTATACATAGTTACGTTGCTCCAAGTTGGATGAATATAATGAAGTAAAGATATCAATACCTGGAAATCATTTTTAAAATGACAGGAAATCCCAACCCTTGACTTGAGACCTCATTCTGTGTCCGCTGTATAGACATCTGATATCCCGGATATTGCTTTCATTGTACAACAAATTGATCCTAGTGTTGTGTTGGCGGTGATATGAGACCTGACTGTGTACTTGTCATTGCAGTACGAATACGCGCTGAGGCAGCTGTACACGTTGGTGAACCTCTGTGAATCCGGATATCCGCTAGAGAGGTAACTATCCCGGCCTTTCCTTGTAGTAATGGGAATTGCATCCATGTCTGTCCATGTCTTTTCCCGTGTGAAACGTAACAGCGGCAGCCGCTCTGATTTCTATGAAACTAGCAAAGAAGAAAAGGTGCACACAGCCAGGGCAACATATGAAACAGTACATAGGGGTCCCCAGTACACTTTCTAACTAGCAGCAAAAAAAAAAAACAAAAAACAAATCTGTTTAAACTACTCAAGGTTACATAGTTAGTCTGGCTAAAAAAAGACAAAAGTCCATCCAGTTCAACCAAAAAAAAAAAAGTTATAATCCTACACCCACAGTTGATCCAGAAGAAGGAAAAAAACCCAGCAAAGCACAATCCAATTTGCTCCTGCAGGGGAAAAAATTTCCTTCCTGATCCCCCGAGAGGCAATCGGATATTCCCTGGATCAACTTTCCCTATAAATGTTATATCCAGTTATATTCTGTGTATCCAAGAAAGAATCCAGGACTTTCCTACAGCAATCCACTGAGCTGGTCACAACCAACTCTTGAGGGAGTCTATTCCACATTCTCACAGCTCTTACTGTGAAGAAACCTTTCCGTGTTTTGAGATGACATTTCTTTTCCTCCAGATGTAAAGAGCGCCCCCTTGTCCTCTGTGATGACCTCAGGGGGAATAACTCTACACAGAGTTCACTATATGAACCACTGATGTATTATACATGGAGATCATATCCCCTCCTTATGTATTATACATGGAGATCATATCCCCCCCTTATGTATTATACATGGAGATCATATCCCCCCTTATGTATTATACATGGAGATCATATCCCCCCTTATCTATTATACATGGAGATCATATCCCCCCTTATGTATTATACATGGAGATCATATCCCCCCCTTATGTATTATACATGGAGATCATATCCCCCCTTATGTATTATACATGGAGATCATATCCCCCTTATGTATTATACATGGAGATCATATCCCCCCTTATGTATTATACATGGAGATTGTATCCCCCCTTATGTATTATACATGGAGATCATATCCCCCTTATGTATTTATACATGGAGATCATATCCCCCCTTATGTATTATACATGGAGATCGTATCCCCCCTTATGTATTATACATGGAGATCATATCCCCTCTTATGTATTATACATGGAGATCATATCCACCTTATGTATTATACATGGAGATCATATCCCCCCCTTATGTATTATACATGGAGATCATATCCCCCCCTTATGTATTATACATGGAGATCATATCCCCCCTTATGTATTATACATGGAGATCATATATCCCCCCCTTATGTATTACACATGGAGATCATATCCCCCTTATGTATTATACATGGAGATCATATCCCCCCTTATATATTATACATGGAGATCATATCCCCCTTATGTATTATACATGGAGATCATATCCCCCCCCCTTATGTATTATACATGGTGATCATATCCCCCCCTTATGTATTATACATGGTGATCATATCCCCCCCTTATGTATTATACATGGTGATCATATCCCCCCCTTATGTATTATACCTGGAGATCATATCCCCCTTATGTATTATACATGGAGATCATATCCCCCTTATGTATTATACATGGAGATCATATCCCCCCTTATGTATTATACATGGTGATCATATCCCCCCCTTATGTATTATACATGGAGATCATATCCCCCCTTATGTATTATACATGGAGATCATATCCCCCCTTATGTATTATACATGGTGATCATATCCCCCCCTTATGTATTATACATGGAGATCATATCCCCCTTATGTATTATACATGGAGATCATATCCCCCCCTTATGTATTATACATGGAGATCATATCCCCCCTTATGTATTATACATGGAGATCATATCCCCCCCCCTTATGTATTATACATGGTGATCATATCCCCCCCTTATGTATTATACATGGAGATCATATCCCCCTTATGTATTATACATGGAGATCATATCCCCCCCTTATGTATTATACATGGAGATCATATCCCCCCTTATGTATTATACATGGAGATCATATCCCCCTTATGTATTATACATGGAGATCATATCCCCCCTTATGTATTATACATGGAGATCATATCCCCCCTTATGTATTATACATGGAGATCATATCCCCCCTTATGTATTATACATGGAGATCGTATCCCCCCTTATGTATACATGGTGATCATATCCCCCCTTATGTATTATACATGGTGATCAACAGATAAAGAGGGTGTTTGCTCATTGGAACATTTGCTGTGCTGTGTAGATGATATTGGCCCTTTCCACCACTTATGGGTCAAGTTTGTTGAGCAGCTTCCATTTTCTCTTGCTTTGCCCTTTTATATAATATTTAGTATTTTGGAGACATGCTGACACTATTGTATGTTTTTCAGCATCACCCGTGCCATGGATACCGTCTGCCGAGATCTGCACTGACAGCTGCCAACACTGAGTCTTCCAGCAGAGGGCAGTAGAGGGGGGCACTGGTGATGATTAACCCTCTGCAATTCGCCCCTTCTGAAGCTGCTGCCCAATCTCCACTCTATGACCGTTTTTTTGCCTTCAACATCTTAAATCTTCAATCCACCCCCAACCTTCCCTACAAAGGCAAGTCCGTCTACGACTGTGTTGGCCATTGGACCTGCAAGGCCCTGACCTGTATAACCAAAGCTTGGAGTGTGTATGACCTCCGCACCCCTCTGAATGCCCACGGGGGGGGGTCAGGAACGCTCCCTAGGAAGTCCAGGCCTGCCCCCTAGAGGCTACCAAACAACATAGATCACAAGACTTGAAGAATGATGACAATGATTGAGATACCTGACCAAAGCGAAGGGTCGAAATTGACTCGTTCTACGTCTGGCCAGTATTGAAGGAAATGCTTGACTTGAGTTAAATCAAATTTTTGATTTTAAGGAAATAACCACAAACTGAAAATGTAGCTTTTAACTTCTTAGCATGCAGATTTTACTTTTTCTTTTTTTTTTTTTCAATCACTAGAATGTTTTAATTGCAAAGAATGTTTTAGAGTTGTTCCTCGAAGACCGAATGTGTCACCCGAGTAATAAATCATGGAGGTCAATATTCTTGTATCTATAGTCCATACCACAGATTGCTGCCTTATTCAAGTAGATGTAAATCCAGATGCAAGAATTAGATGAGATGAAAGAGAAGTAGAGCTCAAGGAGGAGCTAAAGCCCGGCTGCCAGTCATGGCTACCAAGGCTACAGGGGATCTACCCTCATCTCACAGTGAAAAGGATTTGGCATCGGTGGGGCTCCATCAAAGACGTTATTCTATAGGAAATCGTACATTAACACAACGCTGTCTACCAGATCCTCCTGCTTCTCCTCCTCCATCACCGTTCACTCCTGTAGAGGCTCTGTTATGGAGGAACTCTATGATTAAGTCCATCATGGGGTACAATGCATTTGAGGAGGAGCCTCCAACACTGTCTACGAGACCCTGCTCCTCCTCTTCCAACGCATTTCACCCCAATAGGAGCTCAATTATGGAGGTAGTTTTTGATTAAGTCTCTCTTGGGGTAAAACGCATTGGAGAAGGAGAAGGCCCTCCTGAAGTTTAATGTGTTGGAAAAGGAGCCCTTCCCCAGGTGATATGTGTTGAAGTAGGAGCACCTCCTGGGGTAAAATGCATTTGAAGAAGGTGCCCCACTTGGAGGTTCCTCCTCCAATGCATTTCCCCCCAACGCTGTCTACGAGACCCTGCTCCTCCTCTTCCAATGCATTTCACCCCAATAGGAGCTCAATTATGGAGGTAGTCTATGATTAAGTCTCTCCTTGGGGTAAAACGCATTAGAGAAGGAGAAGGTCCTCCTGAAGTTTAATGTGTTGGAAAAGGAGCCCTTCCCCAGGTGATATGTGTTGAAGTAGGAACACCTCCTGGGGTAATATGCGTTTGAAGGAGCCCCACTTGTGGGAAAATGCATTGGAGGAGGAGCTTCCAACGCTGTCTATGAGACCCTGCTCCTCCCTCTTCTAATGCATTTCACCGCAATAGGAGCTCAATTATGGAGGTACTCTATGATTAAGTCTCTCTTGGGGTAAAACGTATTGGAGAAGTAGGAGCCCCTCCTGGAGTTTAATGTGTTGGAAAAGGAGCCCTTCCTAGGGTGATGTGTTGAAGTAGCACTTCCTGGGGTAAAATGCATTGAAGGAGCCCCACTTGGGGGAAAATGCATTGGAGAAGGAGCCCCTCCTCCTTGTGTTTTAGAAAAAACTTTACGCTATAGAAAATTGTACATTACACACAATGCCTTCTACCAGACCCTGCTCTTCCTCCTCCAACGCATTTCACTCCAGTAGGGGCTCAGTCATGGAGGTACTCTGATTAAGCCCCTCAGGGTAAAATGCGTTGAAGTCCCTCCCAGAGTGCAGTGTGTTGGAGAAGGAGGAGCCCTTCCTCGAGTCATCTGCGTTGAAGCAGGAGCACTTCCTGGGGTGAAATGCATTGGAGAAGGAGGAGCCCCACTTGGGGTGAAATGTGTTGAAGGAGGAGCCTCTCCTGGGGTGAAGAAGGCTGGAAGAGGTGCAGCGCTTGACAGATGGTGTTTGTAATGCACGGTTTCCTATGATAAAGAAAAGAGATGTTTTGGCAGTGGTGGGTCTTCTTTCACTTTAGATGTAAATTGCTAATTTTTTCAAAAGGGAAAAAAACATGACAACCTTGTATGATACAAGATGTTATAGGGAACTGAATGTCACCCAGCGAGGGATCACCTCTACTATGACCCCTTGGGAGGAGCCCAGCTGGTGTATATGAAGGTAATGTGAATGTCAGTTTTATATTAGTTGGACTTTTCTGGAATGTTAAATATGTCAGATATGTGGAATGTCCCGACCTCCTGTAAACACTGGAGATTTCATGCTGCTGAGGGGCGGACAAGTTCCTCTATGCTGTATCCTATCCATAAGGTGAATGATTGGCTTCACTATAGCTCAACAATGAGGAAATTGGAGAATCCTGATTGGATATTGAAGATCTATTTCTGTGTTTGATGCTGACAGTTATTAATAAACTATTTCTTATTCGAGAACAAATATGTCTGTCTGATCTTCATTCCCCGACAAAGAAAATCCCCTAAAAATGTGAAATGAACAGCATTTTGAGTGATGTCATCGCTCTCTAGTGAATGGATAGGTTACATTCTCAGTGATGTCACCGCTCTCTAGTGAATGGATAGGCTGCATTCTCAGTGATGTCACCGCTCTCTAGTGAACGGATAGGCTGCATTCTCAGTGACATCACCGCGCTCTAGTGAATGGATAGGCTGCATTCTCAGGGATGTCACCGCTCTCTAGTGAATGGATAGGCTGCATTCTCAGTGATGTCACCGCTCTCTAGTGAATGGATAGGCTGCATTCTCAGTGATGTCACCGCTCTCTAGTGAATGGATAGGCTGCATTCTCAGTGATGTCGCCTCTCTCTGCGAATGGATAGGCTGCATTCTCAGTGATGTCACCGCTCTCTAGTGAATGGATAGGCTGCATTCTCAGTGATGTCACCTCTCTCTGCGAATGGATAGGCTGCATTCTCAGTGATGTCACCGCTCTCTAGTGAATGGATAGGCTGCATTCTCAGTGATGTCACTGCTCTCTAGTGAACGGATAGGCTGCATTCTCGGTGATGTCACCTCTCTCTAGTGAATGGATAGGCTGCATTCTCGGTGATGTCACCGCTCTCTAGTGAATGGATAGGCTGCATTCTCAGTGATGTCACCGCTCTCTAGTGAATGGATAGGCTGCATTCTCAGTGATGTCGCCTCTCTCTGCGAATGGATAGGCTGCATTCTCAGTGATGTCACCGCTCTCTAGTGAATGGATAGGCTGCATTCTCAGTGATGTCACCTCTCTCTGCGAATGGATAGGCTGCATTCTCAGTGATGTCACCGCTCTCTAGTGAATGGATAAGCTGCATTCTCAGTGATGTCACCGCTCTCTAGTGAATGGATAGGCTGCATTCTCAGTGTTGTCACCGCTCTCTAGAGAATGGATAGGCTGCATTATTAGTGAAGTCACCGCTCTCTAGTGAATGGATAGGCTGCATTCTCAGTGATGTCACCGCTCTCTAGTGAATGGATAGGCTGCATTCTCAGTGATGTCACCGCTCTCTAGTGAATGGATAGGCTGCATTCTCAGTGATGTCACCGCTCTCTAGTGAATGGATAGGCTGCATTCTCAGTGTTGTCACCGCTCTCTAGAGAATGGATAGGCTGCATTATTAGTGAAGTCACCGCTCTCTAGTGAATGGCTAGGCTGCATTATTAGTGATGTCACCGCTCTCTAGTGAATGGATAGGCTGCAGCCTAAGTGATGTCATCGCTCTCTAGTGAATGGATAGGCTGCATTCCTGGTGATGTCACCGCTCTCTAGTGAATGGATAGGCTGCGTTCTCAGTGATGTCATCCAGTGGCGTAACAATAGCTATAGCAGTCCAAGCAGCTGCTATGGGGCCTTAAAGTGGAAGTTCACCCAAAAACTAACTCTTTACTAATTCTACTCGCAGCCACATTCTAACTCTAATCCATCTAGCCCTGTACAGAAGAAATCGCTATACATACCTTTTCTGAAGCCGAGCAGATCCGGTCTCCAGCGGCGGAAGCTGTTTGCAAAGAGAATTGACAATGGCTGTGAAATGCCTGGACAGTGACGTCACCCAGAGAGTTACTTGGGGTTTCTGTTGTCCGCTGCCTCTCCTGCACACTCCCACTGACAGCGGCCTGGGACCGGACCGGACCGGAGCAGCTGCAGAACACTAAGTATAGCAATTTCTTCTCTATAGGGCCAGATAGATTGTTTAGAATGTGGCTGTGACCAATGACCGATCACTGCACTAGCCCACTGCCAGTGTCATGTGATCGCTGTGACCAATCACAGCAGATCACATGACTGTTGTAAATAATGAATGGCTTCCTTTCATGCCATTTATTGCTTACAACTGTGCTGCTAGCTGTGATTGGTCTCAGTGGTCACGTGTACAGACGGGCCATTCACAGCCCATCTGTAGCACGTGATCATCTGTGGCCAGTCACAGCTGATTGCAACAAAAACTACTGAATGAATCTGTTTTATTCACTAAAAATGCTTATACCAATAAAATTTGTTGGTATAAACAATCCATAATGTATTAAGAAAAAAAAAAAAAATCCTGATCACTTGCTCAGAGTAGTACAATGTTACTATGGTAACAGTTTATTGCTCTGGTCACAGAGCAATAAAAAATGTTTTTAAAAATTGTAAAAAAATTATTTATTTTTTTTCCATACTATCACCAATGCAGTACAGCGTCGTCATATAACTGGTGTGGCTAAGATCAGGGACACCGACTGGTGACAGTATGTTAAAAAAATTATAAAACGGTTTTTCCAGTTTTTAAAATGTATTACTTTTTTACAAAAATGTTTGTTTTTTTCCCACAAA